CGGGAATAACCTCAGGTGAGGGTAAAAAAAAGAAAAAAGGGAGAGACAGGACCGTGAGCTACCCTGTGGATGTGTCTAACCCTTCTTGGGAGGAGCTTGGGGGTGCTATGAAGATAAACCCCAATCCACACCCACAGTGGCTATTAAGAGGGTGCACTCTACACAGTGGGGAGGTAGGCAAAGGTGGGGAAGTCCCAAAGGCAGTAGCAATCTGGCAAGGCATGGGAAGCTGGACTCCTAGTTCCCCAGAAGGAGGGGAACGGGCTGGGCTCTCAGGCTACTGGATTTACAAATGAAGTGGAGAGGGACCTGATTCCTGGATTCTGGTGGAGGAGGGGCCTGGGGATCTATATTCCTGGATCCAAGGAGAAGGGGCTGAGGAGCCTGACACCTGGGTCTTGACACAGGAGGGCACCAGGGACTTGGACTCTAGGGCTTGGTGTAGGAGAGGACAGAGCCCTGCTTTCAAAGGAAAAATATCTTGGATGATCCAGTCCCTAACTCCCTTCTCCACTCCAGAGACAATGTCCTTTATCTCTGTCCCTTTAAGAGCCCAAGCTTGTCACTAGGCTCCCAGGATCCCCAGGGAGGGGGTCAGGTGCATCACCTCTGCCCCTGGGACCCTACATCCTGCTGCTCCACCCAGAGCAATTCTGCAGCATTCACTGATCTCTGCATCCAGTTCTGCTCACCTGCTGTTATCTTGGACCCCACTGAACAGGTAAGAGACCCCAGGGCCCCAAGTGACCCTGTCCCATCCAGGTGTCTTCCACTTCTACCTCCACCTGATCACAGACCTAGGCATCTCTGCCCCAGACCAGCCCCTGAGACTCTGAAATCTAAGCCCCATCCTCAATAAACAGAGACCTGAGTTCCCCACAGCTCTCTCCTCTTGCAGGCTGAAGAATCCAGGCCCCTAAACCCCTATCTCTGGAAGACCCAAGACTCAGAGTTCCTAATTTCATTCTAACTCAGGATCCGACAGTTCAAGACTCTCGTTTCCTTTCTCCCCTGTAATCCAGCCCCTCAAGCTTGGCTCCCTCAAAATTCTCAGCATCTGAACCTTCAGGCTTCTCCTCTGTAAAGAACCATGAATTTAGACCCACAGTGCCGTCCACCCTCTGGGAACCCAAAGTCTGAACCCCCAGCAGCCTTCTTACCCAGGACCCAAGAGTCTCCCTCCTCCCTCAGATCCAGGCATTCAGACCCCCAGCCCTCAGTTGCTCCTTCTCAGCCTCCACTAGTGTAAACAACTATTGAGTCAAGATGTCCCTGGGGCCCTTGGAGAGAAAGGGATCCCGAGTCCAATCATAGATCTACATCCTCTGAAGTCAAAGTTGAGTAGGTCTGGAGACTTGGAGATGTGTCATTTTCTTCCCAATTTTTATGGGACCCACTTGGGGAAACAGACAAGGAAATTAACTACGACTCCCAAGAAGCCCCGCGCCTCAGTGTCGCTTAGCTACAGCGGCTAACGCCCCAGCCTTCAGGGACTTGCAGTAGGTTCTCCAGCTTTTCCAGGTGCGGAGCTGGGCCCGGGATGTGGTCCACCTGGGGACTAGCGGGCAAGGCCCTAGAGGGTGGGCGTGGCCTCCGGGCGTGGGCATGGACTCCAGGGCAACTTCCCGAGTTAACCCCTTTCTTCCCGCTCCCCCGCAGCGATAGGCATCTTCCGAGCTATGAAATCCTTCGGCCCCATGCTCTTCCACCTCGTCTTCCTCCTCGCTGGGCTGGGTTCCCAGGCCGCGCCTTCGGCCTCGCCAACTGCGGGCTCCACCTTCCCGAGGATGGGCCACTCCTCCGAGACCTTTCTTCATGCTTCTGAAAATTCCGCTCGAGACCAGCCTAACCCAGAATCCCCTGAGCTTGCTTCTCCTGAGCCCTCCAAGGCGCCTCTTGCGGTCCCTCCTGAGCCCTCTCCCTATAACTTCACTGACACCTCCAACTCTGACCTCCAAGAACCCCCACACCCAGAGTCTCCTGAGACCCCCAAACCTAACTCACTCAACACCTCAATGTCAGAAACCCTGGAGACCCCTAAAATTAGCCCCTCCCAAATGACACGTCCAGAACCTTCTGAGACCCCCAAACTTGAACCGACTGAAATCCCACACTCAGAATCCCCTGATACCCCTACACCGAATTCTTCCAAAACTTTACACCCAGAATTTCCTGGGACCCCGAATCCTGACCCTACCCAAACTCCACGCCAAGAATTCCCAGAGATTCCCAAACTTAACTCCACTGAAATGTCACACACAGAAGCCCCTGATGCTGAACCCACCAAAACCCTTCACCCCCAGACTCCAGAATTCCATCATGACCCCAACACCACTAAGACCCCAAACTCTGAATTCCTTCAGACCCTGGACCCTGCCCCTGCCAACACCCCCCACCCAGAATCCCGTGTAACCCACAACACCCGCCCCACTGAAATTCCCCCATCAAAATTCCCCACAACCCACTACCAAGATGCAACAGAGATCGTCATGGACTCTGACCCTGAACTCTCCACCAGTCTTCACCCAGAAACGCCTGCACGGTTCACGGGCCAAGCTACTGCCCTAAATGAGCCGCCCCTGAACACCCAGCCAGAAACCCTTGCACCCGCCCAGCCCAACTCCCTTACATTGCCGGCCTCAGATTTTCCTGGGGCTGCTGAGGCCAGCGCCTCCCAAAACTCTAGCCCGAAAGGTCCAGATGCCCCTCCTTCCTCATCTCGGATTGCCGGCCCCCCTGCTCCTCCAGGGTCCCCCAGTCATCCCGCCCCTGCCACTCTGCGTGCCCCCCAGCGGCGCAGCCGAGGTGAGAGAGTCGACACTATCATCGTGGTGGAACGAGTGAAGGAGACCGGTGAGGGGCTGGGACCTGGGATCCTGGATGTGCGGGAGGAGGGGCCGAGAGTTCACAGTGCTCATTCCCGGCCTTCTTCCTGCAGGGGGGACCCCGGCGGGGCGCCCCTGGAGCCCGGCGGGCGGGGCCTTGTGCTTCTTCTTCGCTGGGACGGGGCTGCTGATTGGCATTTTCCTGCTGCTGTGGTGTCTCTACCGCCGCGCGACTCGACACCGGCCCTTCGCGCACCACAGGCTTCCAAACGACGGAGACGAGCCGGGTGAGTGACCCTTACAGTCCCCGCCCTGAATGCCTGCCCGTTACCTTTACCGGGTTTCGCCTGGCACTTTAGGGCTCCCCGCCAAGAAATGCAGTTCCCCCATCCAAGGTCAAAAGAAGCCCTGACCCCTCCAAGTAAGGTCCTGCCCCCAATTCTCTGAAATTTCACACACACAAGCCCAGTGCCTCCCCCAGACCAACTGGGACTGGCTGCAGGCTCGTAGCCACAGGTCCAAACAAACCCGGCCCCTTCCCTCCCGGAGCCCTGTAATCCCCGCCCCTGCACTTCAGGCCCCGCCCCTAGTGCGCGACAACGCGCCCCCTCAATTACACCCTGGCCCCAGCGCTTTGATTTGAAAACCCACGTGCACTTGACCCTCAGCATCCTCTCTCCCGCCTCCTCCTCCTCTTTGGCCCTCGGCGCAGCGGTGTGGACAGGCTCCTTGTTAACCCTTGGATGACCTCTCTCCTTTGCTCCCAGTTATGCATTTGGACACTCCGAAGGAGCCCTACGATCTCTACTTTTATGCGCCCGACGCTTGGATCCCTTCACACATCTCCACCAAGCAGCCGCCGCCCACTCCTCCCCTGCCGCCCAAGCTGCCCCCGCCGCCCCGCGGGGACCGCCCCCAGCGCCTGGAGCCGCTCTCCCCCGACGCGCTCCCCACCAACTTTGTGTGAGCCCCGCTCGGTCCCTCTGGACCTGCGCCATCCCCAGACGGAGGAAGGACCCAGAGATCCTGTCCTCCCCGCATGCTTTGCTACATAGTAGTACCCTCAGACAGTCCAACACAGAGAGATGCTTTGGCTGTGGCTGGACACCGGCTGAGGCCGAATAAATCACGTGCTCCCTCCCGTAGACACCTCCTCTGGCCTGAGTCCTGGGGGAGGAGGGTGGCTGGGGTCTCAGAACAAGGGGTCTGCAGGAGGAGGGGGCTGAGGGCTAGGAGTCCTGGGTCTGAGGAAGGTGGGGGATGGAACTCCTGTGACTCCCACGACCACTGACCCAATGATGAGGACTGGGTATGTACACCAAAGCATTTTATTGGGAGTGGGGCAGGGCAGGATTTACAGTCACAGAGACAGACACAAAGACACACCCTGCCCGGGGAAAACACCCCTCACCCCCAGCCTCATTCCCTTTCCTGGGATTTTTTGACTTCTCCTATATGTTCCCCATATTCTAAGCCAAAAGAGGTGTCTGAAAGGGACAGCATCCCAAATTTTGAGTCACTTAGCCCCTGAGGGACACAAGAAATGGCCACTGAGAAAAATGAGGGTAGTTTGAAACCACCCAGGAGAATAAAGTGCAAGGAATTGGGGGGAAGAGGGACATCTTGAAACCACCATGGGGAAGTTCAATGGTGGTGGCTTCAAACCATTGATGAACTTGAGCAGCCACTATTTAGACCTGAAAACTGTGTCAGAAAAGTGCATAGGGGTGAAGTGAGGCATACTAATAAAACCACCATTTTGGTTGTTTCCCTAGACATTTCGCTAAGCTAGGGAGAAGGTCTCAGGGGATTTGGTGTTTCAGCAGAATCTGCTGGTGGAGGGAGGGGTGAGAGGTTGGAGGGGATCTTGAAACCGCCATTTTCCCTCAGAAACGCTGGTGAGAATCAATCTCTAAAATAGTGGGGATGGGTGATTGGTTAAACCAACCTGGAAAATGCAGAATAGTTAGGAGAGATCTGAAACTTCTAGAGGAAGACGTTGAGTTTTTCTGAGAGGAAAGGGGGCTGAGTAATCTCAGGGTCCCTGGAGTTAAAGGAAGGGGGGAAGGTGCCACAAAACCACAAGAGTGAGAGACTGAACTGTCCATTCAAATAAAGCCCTGAAAGGAGAGATTTGAAACCACTGAGGCAGAACAAGTGGAGAAGGGAACCTTTAGGGGAATTTGGGTATCCTTGAAACTGCCATTCTGCAGCTTCACTACCCCTGAGAGGCAATTGGGAAAGGAAGAGGATCTGACAGCATTGGGAACAAGGGAGAGTGCTTCCTAGGCCTGAGGCAGAACAGAGAGGACTGGGGCTCCTTGACACTGTCAGGCCAGAGGTGTGTGGAATGGCGGTTCTGGAAACTGCCATCCAGTGGGAGGCACATGGTCAGTAGTCCCGGACAGGGGGTGGGGGTCTTGGGGGCTGAACTGTGCTGTGTATGGCCCCATAGGAGGGAGGGGGCGCAGGGGGTGCCCCAGGGGGCTCAGCCTCATCCTCCATTTCGCTTTCATCACTGCCCGCCAGCTGGTCATGGCCAACAAAGCCACACTTCTCTTCGCTCGTCTCCTCAGGCTCCGCCCATGGCTGCTTCTCTCCAGAAGCGAAGACGCCGTAGAAGATGACACCCCCATAGTGCACCAGGGAGGCGATTAGAAACACGTACTGCCACTCCTCCCGAGTCTGTGGGGAGACAATGGGGAGGGGAGGTGGGAGGCCAGAGAAACAGGAGGTGAAGAGAGAATCTGAGAGGGGAGGGGAGGCCCAAAGAAAGGGAGGCAGATCTAGGGAGAAGCTGAAAGATGCCTACAGGGGGCGGGGTGGAGCCCAGGGAGGGTGCCGGGCATCAGGGAGGTGCATGCACAGAGGTGGAGGGCGAGTGGGTCAGGGCACCTGCACCGACCTTGTGCTTGGTCATGGCACCCACGATGATGGGACACACCATGCCCGACAATGTGCCCACGCCATTGGAGATGCCCATGAGGATGCTGGCATAGCGCGGGGCGATGTCCAGGTGGTTCACATTGAACCCTGGCAAGATGAGCCAGGAGGCGTCACACCTGAATCTCCCTCCAGTGACTCCTTCTGAGCCGTCCCTTCCCCCTTCCCCTCTCCCTTTCTCCCCTCCCCGGTGCTCTTTCTAGTCCACCTTTCGCCAGTCTGGGAGGTCCCCTTCCTGAGCCAGGAAGTCCCCCACAGCGCTGTCCAGATTCCCCCAAGCTTCGGATCCTCCGTTCTCACCAGAGATGGCGAAGCCGCTGAAGCCCACAGCGAGGACCAGGAAGGAGATGGCCACGCCCTTGGAGTGCGAGTAGCCGACCACCAGCAGCAGCGTGGCTTCCATGCCGAAGCCTGTGGACCGGACGCCCCTCATCTGAGTGCCGGCTGCCCCTCACCGCCTCTCCACACCTAATCCCCCCCAACCTGCCTCAATCCGCTCCAGGCCTGTCCCTGGCTTTGCCCCTCATTCCACCAGTGCCAACCCTCAGCCTGGCCCTGGACCACCCAAGCGCACAGGCTCCAGCGCCTCCACTGGGCCCTCCAGGCCCAAAAATGCAGGTCCCAGCCCCACCCGCGCAGCTTCACGTCTTCCCTCTCTGTCCACACTCCTTAGGCAGTCGGCCGCCTAGACCCCTGTCTTTCCAGGTACCCCACTGATCGCTCCTCTTCATCACCTCCTTTCCATCCACTCCGCTATGTCCTGTGTAGACCCTGCTCTTCCCAGACTCAAGTAGATCTCGCCTCTGCTCCACCTGGATAGTTAGTCACACACACACACACACACACACACACACACACACAC